AATGCAGAAGGCGGCAGATCAATGACTCTCGCTCATCATTGATGTTTCTCTCTCTCTCTCCCCCCACTTTCTCTCTCTGAAATAAAAAAATATGTATTAAAAAAAAAATCAAGTCTTCTCTGCCAAAGTTCTCAGATGGGCCAGAATGGTTTATTGGAAAAATATGTCATTGTTATACTTATTAGAATGATGGGTGTTAAGGCTCTTTCAAAATTTCCCTGCATCTCTCCTATGTGATCTCTTTAAATGGGTGATGTGCTATTTTGATAGGAGTGATGAGTGGCCAGGATGGGCTGTGACTCGTAGCTCTTGGTTAGGTTCATTGAATGATCTAGTTATTCTCCCAGATGTTGTCATCCCTGAATTATCATCAAGAACCAGAGAGCAAATCTGCCATCAACTCAATTAACATACACTAAGTTGGGGAAAGCTTTGAGAGTAATAGGAATTTCCAAGTCCCTCACATAAGGGAACAGTGAGTTAAATGGAAAGGTCAAAGGGGAACCATCACTTCTAGAAGAAAAGAGAGCTGGGACTTCTGAGATTTAAATGTTAGCAATATGCTTTCATCTTTTTTTTTGAGGAACCAGAATGACACCTAAGATATGAGTGGTTTTTATTTTAGCTTGTTGACTATCTTTGCTAGGTACAGGAGCAGGAGGGAAGGTTTTGTTTTTCTGTCATAACACTGTTACAGCTCTGTTGGAAGTGCCTCAGATCAGCTGAGAAGTGATCAGGTGTTCTGACGGGTGGGCGTAATATGATCTCTCAATTCTACCTGGCAGATAAAGGACTACTACCTCTCAGTATATAGGCCACAGAGAATGACAGACTATGAGTATGTTTCTTGGTGATTTGTGGGATCCCAGTTTTTATAATTCTCTGGCCACTGTCCTTTCTTAGAGGGGATGTTGAAACACATATGCCCTGACAAAACTTAATAATGTAACCACCCTGCTCCCACTGAGGAGAATGTGGTTTAGAGCAGAGGACCACTTCCTAAATCCTGTGGTGTGTCAGTGAGGCCCAAAGGCTCACTGTAGTTGGTCTAGTCACCTTTGGCGCTGCTCCAAATGTGTTTATTTTACTTGACAAATACTTAGATAGCACTTCTTATATGCCAGGTACTGTCTTAAATGCTTTACAATTAATAACTCACTGAATTCTAATAACACCTTCAGAGGTAGGTACTGTTATTATCCCCACAGATGACGATTCCAAGGCACACAGTATAAGTAATTGTCCCAGGTTGCACAGCTAGTAAGTGGGATGCAGGATACAGACCCATGAGAACTGGCTCCAGAGTTCATACTGCTAAACTCTGTTGCCTCAGAGTTAGTCATTCATCTGAATTCCTGATTTATCTTTTCAGCTACTACTTTGGTTAGGATTAAATTTGTGTGTGACAGAAAATGTAAAATAATAATGACTGGAATAAAAGTATATGTAATTCTCATAAAAGAAGTCTAGCTCGGCCGGCGTGGATCAGCAGTTGAGCACTGACCTATGATCCAGGAGATTGAGGTTCAATTCCAGGTCAGGGCACATGCCTGGTTGTGAGCTCAATCCACAATAGAGGTAGTGCAGGAGGCGGCCAATCAGTGACTCTCTCATCATTGATGTTTCTTTCTCTCTCCCTCTCCCTCTCTCTAAAATCAATAAAGATATATATGTATTTTAAAAGGCTATATAGGACACTCAGGGCTGGCATGGCATTTAACTTTATCAGGGAGGCAAACTTCTTCCATCCAGATGATCAGCCATCCTTAGCATGTGGCTTCCACTTCACGATACAGGATGGCTAGTCAAACTGCAGACATCTTATCTGCTTTTCAGCTGGTTGGAAGAAGAAAAGGGAGAGGGAACATATGCCCATTCCCTTTAAGGCATTTCCTAGAAGTTACCCCAGACTCTTCTTATATCCATTTTCCTGAACTTAGCTGCAGCAGTGTCTGGGAACTACTCTTTCTTTTGCCCCTCTAAAAGTCAGGAGTCCTGTGCCCAAGGAAGAAAGAGGAACAGATTAGGGGAACTTTTGGAACTAAACAGTCCAAAAGTTTTTTGAAGATAACAGTCCTGACTTCGTTTCTCAATTTAGGGTGGTTTCTCCCTCAGGGCGTGCAAGTGGGGACATGGAACAGTAAGATGGAAAATGCTACATCAGAAGTAATGGTAGAGAGTACTCCTATTACCCTCCTCAGTTACATCCTTGCACTTCAAGTCTCATACTCAAACACCTACAAAAGTATTTTTTGAGCATTTTCTGTTTTGTGAGGCCATCAATACTAGATGTTCATATTGCCAAGAATCATAGAATAGCATGTGATTCACTAATTTATTGAGAAGATCTAAATGGGATAGCACACCTGAAAGCCCCTGGCATGGTTCCTGCTTAATCAGAATGTTTTGTGTTTAAGTTATATGCCCATTCACTTCTGGATTAGGCTTTCTTGGATGCATTAGCATTGAGCAAGGCAAAAGTCATATGATTTTGAGAAGATGCTTTTGTGACCATTGAGAATAGTAATCCATTAGATAGATAATCCTAATTGCTTCACAATTTTACAGATACTGCTCACATGTTTTAGGAATTTGGCCTTATATCATAATTTTCAACCTTTTAAAAATACTTTATCCACCAAGAGTTCATCATGAAATCAGTACAATACTTTTTCCATTTTTCAAATATAAAAGTATGTTGTACTATTGAATATGTATCTTCAAGAAACTCTGATGTCCTTACATTTGGTTGAGAACCACACTGATAGCCAAATAAAGAACCCAAATAGAATTAATTTTTTTTTAACTAAAATGTTAAGAGACAGTCAACTTTGATTATCAAATATAAATGTAGTTCTTGAGATTTTAAGTATTATCTACCATCTGTTACAGGCAGCTGTCCCAGGCCACAAGTTCTGATGGATGAGGCAGGTGGGTGGGGTCAAAGACATTGGTTAAGAAAGTAAATACAGGCTAAATCTCTCCACTATATTCTATTTGGATTCCATCTTCTTTCAGGGTCTCATATATTTGAAGTAACCCCTCTCTCTCTTTTGTAAGAGTTAATATGAAAATAAGGCTTCTCTATCTAAATAGCTAAGTAGGGGGGGGGTTGTTCCCCCCAAACTCTAATATAGAATACAGCAGTTCTCAGAGTGTGACCTAAGAATCCCTAGGAGTTCATTTTGGGGTCCACAGGTCAAAACTATTTTCACAATAATTTTAAGACTTTGCCTTTTCCACTCTAATTTCCTTATAAGTGTACAGTGGAGATTTCCAGAGGCTACATGATGTGTGATATTAAACAGATTTAATATTAAGGAAGATGTGAGGATCCAGTTGTCTTTTATAAGCCACATATTAGAGAGATGTGCAAAACTATAAAACATTGCCAATCTCATCACCAAAAATTGTTGTGTTTTTTTAAAATGTTTTTATTAATTTCAGAGAGAGGAAGGGGGGGGGAGAGAGAGAGAGAGAGAGAGAGAAAGAGAAAGAAATATCAATGATGAGCGAGCCATTCGTTGGCTGCCTCATGCACGCCCCCTAGTGGGGATTGAGCCTGCAACCCGGACATGTGCCCTGACCTGGAACTGAACCATGATCTTCTGGTTTGTGGGTCAATGCTCAACCAACTGAGCGCGCCAGTTGGGCACTAAAAATTGTTTTTAAAAATAGTTATTTTTTATAAGACATGTCACTTATACTAACATGTAGTGGGTTTATTTTTATTATTAAATGAATTCATAAATAGTTTTAACATTTCAGTTTTAACTTTTACTACAGCAAATACAGGTTTTACCCATATGAACAAAAGTTTTGGAGGATCCTTACTAAGTTTTAAGAGTTTAAAGGGATCTTGAGACCAAAAGTTTGAGAACCATCCACTTCATGTTTACCAAACTTTAAAAGAAAACTTGAACTCTTAGATTTTAGGTTCCTGGAGGAAAAAGCCTCTTTAGTATAGCATACTACCCTCTTCTTTGTGGCTGGTGGGTAGATAGAGGAAACCCTTTGGGTTCCATGTCCCAGTAATTGGTTGTGGATTCTGACACCAGCCACTTAATGTCCTCTTTCTTCCTTGTGCAGTTCTGTTTTTATCCCCAACTTTGTGGATTGCTGCTACTTAAGCTACCTGTGTCTCACCACCTTTGTTACAAGGGGATTAATAAGTGGGTGTTAAGGAAAGATATTTTTAAAAGATTGCTATCAAACTGAAGCTTTTTCCTAAATGTAATAAAGGAATTGAAAGTATATTATAGGAGAGGATGGTGAAAAAAATTAAGCAGTGATCATTTTCTCAACCAAATACTGCTGGGTGTCTTTCTAATTTAAGCGGTTTTCTGTGAATAAGGAGAATATTCTTAAATATTTCAGTAATATAGTTGATTATAGGAAAAGATCATTAGCTTTGGAGATTAGGCCAGGGTGGTTTTATGTATCTCTCTAGGAAACCTGCAAAGTGCTCACACAAACTAGGTACTAAGCAAATGTTAACAGAATTGAATTGGACTGAGGCCTATACTTAGTCCTGAAAGGTACTTATCTCCCCTTCTGTCTAAATGTCCTTCAGTTCCTCCATCCTTCTTACCCTACCATTGCCTCATTTGTCTAGTCTAGAAATTATTATTTAATGAACCCCTTGTTGTACTGAGATAACCATGATTGCTAATGCTTTTAGAGTTGATGAGATGCTTTCTGATTCTCCTTATGGGGGAGGGAAACTGAGAGTTTGAAAGGTTAGTCCATACATGATGCTTGGCTGCACTCTTGGCTTTCAAGTTCTGCTTTCTTTAGCTGGGAGTCCTTAAGCCTCAGCCCTGGCATTTTTTAGTCTTGCTAGCAGTAGGAATGTCTTGTTCTCCCTTTGGGGGACCAGCTCGCTGAACTCCACGTTGTGCTTCAGTTGAATTGACTGTTGGGCCGTGGGACATGCCTCACATTATCCTGTGGTTCACTGCCGAGGTTCCAGAGAGTTACAGTAGATTCATCAGTCATCCTCTGAGTGGCGAGCTATTGTGTGATTCAGAGCCCAGGAGTCCAGGGAGCAGAGATGGAGAGGAAGATTGCTAACTTAGGCCTCTTGCCAGCCACTTTGAATAAGAATGTTATTCTGGCTTATGATATGAATATATGCATTATACTTTTTCCAGTGGATAAGTTTATCTTTAAGAATAAATTGATTCTTTTGAAAGAAGGAAGAGAATTCTGTATTTTTTTAGCCCTCTCATATCCTTACAAAGCTTCTTGATGGAACTGGCCTCATGATTGACCAAATATTGTTGAAGACATGTGCCTAGCCAATTCCTAATATGAGTACTTTCTTAATGCAGGCAAATGGGTGTATGTTTTCTGCTGTGACCTGCCATTCAGGAAGTGATACCCACAGGAAAATGTCTTATGACCCAGACTAGCTCGAGTTAGTGGTGGGGTGAGGGGAGAGGGAGTCATATGATAAGAGGAGGCGTCACATGAATAGCATATTTACTTCTCTTTCTTTGAAATGCCCAATTTGGGGACTGCAGGGAATGAGAAAAATTAAAAAACAACCTCAGAGAGCTGACTGACCTGGGGAAGAAATCTTCGGGAGGGAGGACCATAGTTTCCAGGTTGCAGCAGCATCCCCTGTTTCCAGGACCTTTGAGGATTAAGTTACTGTCTTCTAGAGAAGATGGATTTAATCTTTGTGGCCTCTCCTGTCCTGGTCTCTTGCCTATCAGAATGACTGAAGAAAACCCCATTCTAACAAGGTGACAGATTCTTTTTTACCTCTGTGGTTTTTCTTTTCTCTTGCTTTCTTATTTTTTGTCATTTCTAAACTTTTTATTGTAAGATGTCATTACACCTAAAGGGTAGGATAGTAAGGCTGACAGAGAAAATCAACCATCGATGAAGAAATTTTCTTAACCTCATTTCATTATACTTTACTAATTTCATTTCAGTTGATAACTTTTTGAGTCTTTACATTGCTGCAGAGCAGGAGTGTGTATGTATGTACCTTGGAAGTTGGGGTTTGATGGTGTTACAATCTGTTGTACTACATATACCAGAATTGGCACCTTCTTTGGCCACAGCCCTTTGTTTCAGTGGGTCTCTTAGCTGCATACATGAGCTGGTGTCTTCCCCTTATAAGTTGGGAGGAAGCCAGTGTCTGACTGTAAACAGAGGTTGTCTGCCCATGCCCTCTCACTGCTTTCTATATTCCTGCTGACCTGGTCTGTGAGCAACTTTAATAATCTTACATTTAATGTCCTCTTTTTCTTTTGTCTGTGTAGAAGATCACTGCTGTTTTCAAACCCAAGAATGAAGAGCCATATGGGCACCTTAATCCTAAGTGGACCAAGTGGCTGCAGAAGCTGTGCTGTCCCTGCTGCTTTGGCCGTGATTGCCTTGTCCTCAACCAGGGCTATCTCTCAGAGGCAGGGGCCAGCCTCGTGGACCAAAAACTGGAACTCAACATTGTACCCCGTACCAAGGTCAGTGACCTGTCTCCAGGGGCCTTACTGCTTGGCCAGAGTTTTCTTGGGCCTAATCCCTGCTACATGTTAGTGAGACCATTAGGTCCAGTGAGGGTGCTTTATGCCCCGAGTTTAGGGTTCTCAGCCGTTTTTTGCAGGGGTGTGAGTGTGGGGAGCTAGATTTAAACTCATTATTTGATCATTTGATGAAAGTTATCCTGAGAAGGATACACATAAAATTTTTGCATACAATTTCAGGAAGTTTACCAACCCCCTGGTGCACATTTATGGGCTCCCTGCATCTTTGGATCCCAGATAATCTCAAGTTGGTTAAAACCTAGCAACTTTTGTGGCTTACTCTCTTAGATTTTCAAACCATTTCAGGATTTAGACACTGCCTAGAATCGACTAGCTGATGTTAGCTAAGCACTTATGAAAGGTCTGGCAGGGGGGACTAGAATGGGCTGAGGGTTAGAGTAAAGATCTGGCCTGAACCCCTATAGGGAACTGACATGGAATTCTCCTCCCTCATCTTTATGCTATGGAATTCTGGTACTTGTCTAAACATAACAAAATTGGTGTCCCAGGAGGCAAATCCACACTTAGAATGGATTTGCACACACATTGTATGTGGTATAGACTTTCTATGTGGTATAGACTTAGTTGAGGTTCTAATGAAGGGTCTGGATCATACCTCCTCAGCCCCCAAAATTGCTTAAATACAGAATTAATTGCGTACAATATCAGGAAATAGTAAATTTCCTGAGGCCAGGTTAAGAACCCCTGTACACATATTTGCAATTATTGTTTTGCATATAATTTCAGTAGATGGTTCATAGACCAGTTGAAGTCCATTAACCCAGTAGGAACCATGCCTCTAGATTAAAAACCCCTGCTTGAAGTTTTCTTCACAGGTTTAGTTAGCTGACTCTGTGGGCAAAGAGACTGATCAGGAGACAGTCTGATCAGCTTCCCCTCAAACCTGTTTTTCTGTTTTCCCCGGATATTTTATTTCATTTTATTTTAGAGGGGGGAGAGGGAAGACAGAGAGAAACATCAATGTGAGAGAGATACATTTATCGATTGCCTCCCTTACACACCCCGACTAGAGATCGAACCTGCAACCTAGGTATGTGCCCTGACCAGGAATCAAACCTTGACCGTCTGGTGTATAGGACAATACTCCAACCAACTGAGCCACACTGGCCAGGGCTTCCCAGGGTATTTTAGAGAAAATGTGCTTGTTGTGGATATTTAATTGTGTGTGCTCCTTTGCCACCAAACTCCAAACAATAAGCCAACTAGTTTGTAAGTCTAGAAGTCGGGGACCATTTCTTGAAATACCCTTCTCCCAGTCTCAGCACCTCCCAAAGTACTATACTTATAGTAAGCATTCGGTAAAGACCAGCTGAATTGGTGAATAAAATCCAATGATGAGAAACAGTACCAGAAATCCCCCAACTTCAGGTGTCGGAGAGCCTGGCCTTGCACAGCCCATTCCTTCCCTTCAGGCTTCAGTCCTCTGTGTGTGCATATAGTTAAACAGCACACTCTGACCATTTTATATAATAATGCTCCTATGATCCCCTGCCTAACCTGAAATCCTTCTACTATAGGCCCCTCCTAAACTCTAGAAACTCTTTTAAATACTCCTTGTTCATTACTCTAATTTCCTTTCTTCACTAGGTAAATAGCAGAGGGCCCTCAGCCCTATGCCTGCTTGCTTGCCTATTTCTGGAGTGCGGTACCTGAGAAGCAGAGGGCTTAAGTTTGAATTCTGGCTTTGCAGCTGTTTAGTGGGTGACCCTTAGGAAAGTCACTTAAGAGCCTCTCCCACCCCCATGCTCAGTTTCATCACTATAAAAATAGGGATATAAATAGTTGCTACTTTATAGGGTGGCTGTTAAGATTACACAAGATAATCCATGTAAAACACATAGCCTAGTACCTGGCACAATGTAAACACTCCATACATCTTAGCCTGTGGTATTTTTATGACTATTCTAATCATTAATGTCACCCCCTCCCCCCAATCCCGTTCTTCTCCATCTCTGGTCTTCCTCTTTCCCTATTTGAGAACCTTAATGAGGCCTAAGGAACTTTTGCATCAAAAAGTCAGCAACAACAAAAACACTTGTCTTCTCTGAGACTGAGATGAGACAGAACTTTGTAAGCTGAACAGACAGCTGCTGGAGAGAGTAAGAGGGAGCATCTCCACCCCCACCCCCACCTCCCCGTCCTATGATAGGATTCTATCCAGTTGATCAAAGCATCTGTCACTAAGGAAATGGGGCTCATGTTGCAATGGACCCTCAAATAGTAAGGCTCTAATTCTCACTTGGTTGCTGTCTCTGCTCTCTGTTTCTGTAAGGTTTCATGTTATCATGGTTTCATTAGTTATAGGGAAAAGGGGGGCTGTTAAAAAGAGTGATTGAAAATAAATCTGATGTGGGAAAAAGTGGTTTATGGCCTGAGAGAGCCAGGGTTTTACCATGGAAACAGGTAAGATAGAATAGTCTTAGGAAAGCCCTTTTTCCTCTTTATTCCTGTGCCTGAGTTTCCTGATTTGTAAGGCAGAGAGTGCCATCCTACAATACCTTGCACATACATTTTAGGTACTCCTTTAACACTGGGTGATGTGTTAAAGGAGGGAGGGAGGGAAGTATTTTGCCCCTTTCTATCTCTATCTTTCATGGGCAAAATAATTAGTAATTTGTAATGAATTTTACAAGACATAGGAAAAGAATTTTCTTATAAATTTGATTTCACATATTTATATGCAAAAATCCACTTACTGTGGTCTCTGAAAGAAGCTTATAACTCATTCATTCACTTAATATTTTTGAGTACGTGCCAGGTACTATGTTAGATACTGGGAATGCTAATGTGAATAAAATGTTCTCTTCCTCCCTAATTTCATTAGTCTTAAGAGAGATGTTAGATATACATATAGATGATCACAAGACAATGTGATAAGTGTTACAGTAGGTGTACATATGGATTATGGATTATAGTGATATCATCACAATTTGACGATCAAGTATAATATTGATGGCCTGTTTAATTTTTTTTTTTTTTTGAATAGGCAATGCATGCATCTAGTGCTAAAATCAGAAGGCACAAGATAGTAAACAGAGAAGAATAATTCAGCTTCCCTCCCACCCCTGTCTTCCAGCCACTGAATTTACTTTCTCAGAGACAGCTGCTATTACTAGTTTCTTGTGTAATATTCCAGATATAGTCTGTATAAATATGAGTATAAATAACAATTCACTAAAAATTAAAACCAACTTTAATGTTTATTTTTTGAATGTGAATAATCACACATCGTACAAAATTCAAAAGGAAATAAAGGGCATAGAGTAAATTGCAATTTGTTTTTATTTGGAAAGAAAACAGGCATTGGGCCATCTTCTCCTACAGGAGGTAGCTGTATTAGTCATTGTAATTCATGCCAGCTGCTATAACAACTCCTGAATCACAGTGGTTTAATATAGGAGTTTATTTCTTGCTCACATCATAGGTGCATGCCAGTTAGGCAGCTGTCTTAGATCCCATGTCATTCCATGTAGTGACAAGTGTCCTCCTGTGATGTGGCTCTGCTATCTCACAGCTCTTCATTTCCAGCTGCAGAGATTGGGGAATGTGATACAGATCATGGGAGATTTTAGGGGCCAGACCTGGAAGTAGTGTACATACATCACTTTGTCAACATTCCATTGGCCCAAACTAGTCATATACTCTATCTTAGCTGCTAGGAATGCTGAGAAATGTATTCTTTCTGTGTGTCCTAGAAGAGGAACAGTATTGGTAAGTATTAAGCTATTCTCTGCCGTAGTGGGATAGTTCCTTAAACTTGACTCTAACCTAGGTATCTCTTCTCTTTCCACTATAGGTAGTACATCTGGCCAGTGAGACCTTCAACTATAGTGCCATTGACCGAGTGAAGTCCAGGGGCAAGCGGCTTGCACTAGAGAAAGTGCCAAAAGTTGGGCAGCGGTTTAACCGCATCGGGCTACCACCAAAGGTATAGACTACATTTATGTGATTTGAAGCAGGGTGCCTATAGACTCACATATGGACATGTGAATAGCCTGCCCTGAGGCTCCTGTCTTCCTCATTTCTATCAAGGGGCTAAGACTCTAATTTTCTCACTTTACTGCTCTTGACCATTTGAGTGGGCTTCTTGAACTTGGATGGGCAGTCATCGTCACAACCCTTTTCTCCTGTAATTGCAAGGAGATGAAGAAGCAAACATCGTGAAAATGTTTTCCTCCTCTGATATAAAATCCACAAGGCCTTAGTGGGTCCCTGGCTTACTCTTGGGATCTTTGAACTTGGGCTGTACCTCTTTCTTGGTTGCAGGTTGGTTCATTCCAGCTCTTTGTTGAAGGCTATAAAGATGCAGACTACTGGCTACGGCGTTTTGAAGCAGAACCTCTCCCTGAGAACACTAACCGGCAACTACTGCTGCAGTTTGAGCGGTTGGTGGTGCTGGATTACATTATTCGCAACACTGGTGAGCAGCTGTGATGGTCCTCTGCCCTGCGCCAGACTGGTGAGGCACAGGGGGAGGCCTGGAGCCACACCGGCCAGGGCCTTAATCGTTCTTATAGCAGCAAGACCTATCACAGAACAGTTTTGTTAAAATCTCCAAAGTCTTCAAGAGATTTTAGAATATTTTATCCATAATTATAGTTGTTCTTAGTAGAGTGATTGGTCCACGTGTCCAAAATACCTAGTCCACCATGAAAATGAAAGTTGCTCCTGTTTCTTGTTGTTGTTTTATTTTTTGCTAACTTTATATTTCTGTTCACAGATCGTGGCAATGACAACTGGCTGATTAAATATGACTGTCCAATGGATAGTTCTAGCTCTCGGGTAAGAGGTTAATCTGTATCTTGAAGAAGAGGATGAGGTGCAGTATATGCATCCAGGAGAATTAGGGTAGTACATGTATTTAGAAGGGATAGGTTAATGTTTGGTAGCGTTTTCTACTGTCTGGTTTTTTAAGGAATGTGCTATTAAATGATGTTAATGCAAATGGAATGAAGAAAAGTTCAAGTAAATTTGGGACATACTTTATGCCTTTCACATTGCTTAGTAGCATAGCAAAGTTCTAAGGAGTTAATGAACCTGTTTAATTTTGATTGGCCCAGCGATTTCTAAACTGTTTTGACCATGGAACACTTTTTTCACAACAGACCACAGTTCCAAAGAACATCAGCTTAGAGAAAGCTGCTTAGTTTTCTTTATTCTCTCATTCTTTCCCTGGTTCAACACATTTATCTATCCTGCATATTTAAAAATTCATGGGAAGGTTACCTGGAGAAGGAGAGAGTGAGGTGGTTTTGTATTCCTCGTAATGTTTTTTCTTCCAGCTTTATTAACAGTAGCAAGCATTGTGTAAGTTTCAGGTGTACAGTATGATGATTTGATACATTATATTGTGAAATGTTTACCACAATTAGGTTAGTTAACACATCCTCATAGTGTTTTCACTTCTTTAATAGTCATTCTCAAATTTTGTACATCAGAATTACCTGAAGAACTTATTAAAAATAGTACAGATTCTTTAAGCCTTTCCCCCATTATGGTGGGTGAAACTCAAGATTCTATACTTTGAATAAGGTATCCCAGGGGATTCTGGTACAGGTGTCCTGGACCCACATTCCCTGTTCCTGTGATGTGCCTGTGAGCCTGAAGCATGGAGCCAAGCAGATAGTCATGAGCGTGTCTGATGTGGGCTGTCACAGGTAGCCTGCCCCACTCTGCATTCAGCTCCTGTCCTTTTCCTTTTTATGAGTCGCTGAAGCAGGGAACAGACTTGTGTACGAGCGACCAGTTGTTATCTTTCATGGTTCTGTTATCTCACTGGAAAAATGTCACCACCACTGAAGTGTCATTTGAGTCAAGGTCCACACAGAAGGACTTTGATCAACTGATACTGATTGTTTTTCTTTTTTTCATACCCTCAGGAATCTAATCGCCTTTCCCTAGGAGGAATGGCTTATAGTTATTTGTTATTGTCATTTCCCTTCTTACCAACGACTGTGGAAACTCTTGGGATAGTGTACCTTTTCTAAGATGAAAAAGGGACTCTGAGAACCCTAAACAAGCTAAGTTCAGGTAACAATGTGGAAACCAGCTCAGAGGTTGACTACGGATTGGTGCCTGAGGATGATAAGATGGGGTGCTTTGCTACTACTTTACAGGGCCTGAGGCACGTGGGACCCTAAGTATTTAGTCTTTCCTTGCTCTTTAGGACACAGACTGGGTAATGGTGAAGGAGCCTGTTATCAAGGTGGCTGCCATTGACAATGGGTTGGCTTTCCCCCTGAAGCATCCTGACTCCTGGAGGGCATGTAAGTCTCAAGATCACTGTCTGGTCTGGCTCTTGCTAGGTCTGTTTTTCTGTCTGTGCAAGGTAGATAATAATACCTGTATCATAGGATTGTTCTAAGAATTAATGAAATAATGTGGTTTTTGCACTTTAGCACAATGGCTGGCAAATGGCAGCAACTCCATAATGTAAGCTAATATTATAATTTTTACCTTATATTATTGCCATTAGAAGCATAGAGTTGAGTTTTCTCATCTCTGTTTTGCATTTTTCTCATTCTTTCTGAGGACTATCTTTTGTTGTTGTTGTTAATCCTCATCCAAGGATATTTTTTCCATTGATTTTTTTTTTTTTTTAATATATCTTTATTGATTTCAGAGAGAGGAAGGGAAAGGGAGAGAGAGAGATAGAAACATCAGTGATGAGTGAGTCACTGATTGGCTGCCTCCTGCATGCCCCTGACTGGGGATCGAGCCCCCAACACAGGCATGTGGCCTGACCAGAAATCGAACTGCCATCTCCTGGATCCTAGGTTGATGCTCAACCACTGAGCCATGCCCAGCTGGGCTCCATTGATTTTTTAGAGAGAGTGGAAGGGAGAAAGGGGGGGCGGGGGAGAGGGAGAGAGAAAGAGAAACGTTGATGTGAGAGAGACACATCGATGGGTTGCTTCCTACCTGCGTCCCAATGGGGGCCTGGGGTCAATTGAACCTGTAACCCAGGTTGTGCCCTTGACCGGGAATCAAACCCAGAACCCTTCAGTTCACTGGCCAATGCTCCAACTACTGAGCCAGGGCAGGACTACTTTTTTAAAAATTTATTCTATTTGTGTTTAAATATAAACTTTTGTCAAGTGTTCGTTCTTTCTTGTTGACACCTGGAAGCCAACTCCTGCCACATTATAATTGAGAAACTTTTAGAAAGAAAGATATACAAGTAGGGGATAACTAGCCCCTTTGTAGTGCTAGTTTGTCTTTTCAGGAGTATCTCAGTGTCTTAGGGGTAAGTCATTGATTCTAGATAGGCTTGTGTCTTGGAAGATCATGTAATATCTAGGAAAGAGCACAAGCTCTGGGATTAGGCAAACCTAGGTTTGAATGGTAGTTTCTCTACTTACTGTATAACTTTTAGGGTTCACAACTCTTGTAACTTTTCTGTTGTATGTCAAGGAAGAGGGTGGACATAGATGGGCAGGGATTTTTTTTCAATACCAGCTTTGCTTTTGACCTTTCCTTTTTTCAGATCCTTTTTACTGGGCCTGGTTGCCCCAGGCAAAAGTCCCATTCTCTCAGGAGATCAAAGATCTGATTCTTCCAAAGATATCGGACCCTAACTTCGTCAAGGACTTGGAGGAGGACCTATATGAACTCTTCAAGGTTAGCCCTGGAAATGTCAGCCTTATAACCATATAGAAGAAGGAATTCTTAAAGGTTTTTCTAATTGGTCCTACTACAAGCCAAGAGAACATGGCTAACACTCTTCTGACCTGTTAACCAGTGAAGAGCAAGATTCCCACATGTGGATAGCAGGATCTAGTTTGGATTTGTTTGGGGGGGAAAATTGGCAGTTGTGATGAATCACACGGGTGGGTATCGTGTGGTTCGTGGCTGCGGTGTATCTGTAGAGCTCTCATTTTCAAATGGAGCACTGGAGCCTGGAGCTCTTTAGAGTTAATAATGAGACTCAGGACAAGATGCTTACTTGTTCTCTCTTTCCCCAACTGTGAAACAGAGTTCCTGGGGTGGTAGCTAACTTCACTAAACACTACAAGCCTTGTGTAGGTTTTCTTTATTAGCAAGTTTCTAATTGGTAGGAAAATGGGTTCTTCTGAGGGATTCATGCAGGTTCCCTCTCCTTATGCCCTTTGCAGAAGGATCCTGGTTTTGACAGAGGCCAGTTCCATAAGCAGATTGCTGTCATGCGGGGACAGGTAAGTGCAGGACATCTTAGTGTAATCCCTGGAATCTCTCTGGAAGAATTATATGCTCTTGTTGAGTAAATGTATAAAGATTGTATTTTACACTCTTTTTAGTCTATGTCCTACATATTTGTGATTCTGCATTAACACATGAGAGGAAAGGTAGCCCTCCCCAGTCTCCCACCTCCTCCAGGGTATCTGGTTGGTGATGTGCTTATTATGTACTTACTTCTGTGCTAATTGCTGGATAGTTCGTTGGTAAATTTACCCAGTGACCCCTTGTGCTCCAGTTGCTCAAGGCAGACCATATGCCTTGGTGGTTAAGAGCTGGGCTCTGGAGTCAGACTGCTTTACCGTTTACATGCTCCATGGCTTTGGACAAGAGCCTGTGCTTCCTTGTTTATATAATGAGAGTAAGAATACTTTGCAGAGTTGGCTAGAGGATTACATGAGATAATACGTATCAAGTATTTAGTAAAAACAATGCCTGGCACATGATAAGCACTCAGATACTGGCTATGGTTATAATTTTTGTTGTTATAGTTATGTCATATTATTTCCTCTCTTTCCACTTGACCTTCAAAGAGAGCTAAGGAAACCCTGGGGCATTATTGATCTTCCAAAGCACAGTAAAGAATATGCTTGAAAAGTTGTTTAAAAACTCTGTAGGACACTGACATTCTACTTATCACATTGAAGTCTTCTTAAAGAGAGCTGGGATGGCCTAGCAGTTAAGGGCACAAACTGGTCAGAGTTCCTGCATTTAAATTCTGGGTCTGCCATTTACTAGTCTTGGACAAGTTACTAAATTTCTTCATTTGTAATATGGGATTAATAACAGCATCTATCTCATAGGGTTAGTATGAAAGAAATTATTTAAAACAGAGTAGTGCCTGGCATATTGAAATACTCAATATGTGTGTTAGCTATTTTGAACACCATAAAGTTCAGTGAGCATCCGGCTCTCCCCAGCATGTAGGTGGCTAGTATGTTAGTCACATCCGTACTTGCTTACCAATCACACATCAAGGCAAAACAAGCCTCTCTGCCCTACAGAAATCTGCCATATTGCAGGAAAACGAGGTTCCAGCCCTCTGCCTACTGAAGCCCTAATCACAGAGTGGGCTGTGCAAGGGCCCTGAACTGAAGGGGAGGAGTGACGAACCCCAAGAGATGGACTTGAGTGGTGGTGGTTACTCACCATAAATAAAGGCTTCTCACTAGCAGCTGGATAAAGAATTCAGGATCTGAGGTTTAAAGAGGTTATTTAAACCTCTTTAAATAACATTTTCAAATAATTCTTTACCATTATGTGCCTGCTATAAATTTCTCTTCAACTTTTTAATTTGAAAAATTTCAAACTTGAGTAAAGTTGAAAGAGTATGATCTTCTAGATTCACCAATTGTTACATTTAGTTAGCCACATTTGCTTTATCTCATATCTGTATATATTATCTATCTGAATAAAATCTATATATATCTATATTATTTATCTCTCTCTATATATATATAGATTTTTTTTGGCCAAATCTTTTGAAAGCTGTAAGTTACTGACATTTTATGCCAAATGCTTCATTCATGAAAGGTGCTTCTAACCCAAAGAACCAGCAGAAGCACAGGAAGACCCAGCCAGGACAGGTTTAAAATCCTCCATCTTAAATTGGGCGATCTTTTGCACAATTCACTCCAATTCCATTTTAAGCTCCTGATCTTGTGCTCAAGGCCCTTTGAAGCAGTGTAGGATGCTGACGAGTACCAAAACATATAAATAAAAAAGGAATTAATTACTGGTAGGATCTACTTCCGACTTCTGACCTCTGTTCCAGGGGAATCTCTGCCTCTTTATGGGCAGCATTTATAGGCCAAGGGTATTTGGCTTAAGGGCTGTGTGTCTGTGTGATTTGAGGGTGCAGCCTAACTTATCCTACCATGTGTCTGTGGCCTAGATGTGAAAATCTTCAACATTTAGTGGTTTAGAGAAGGCTATCCTACCAAAGAACATAAATGGTGGTGATTCTAATTTTGACAAGGGAGAGAAAATGTGTCCCCATGGGCACGTATCTTTATTTTTATTTATTGATTTTGAGAGAGAGAGAGGAAAGGAGGGCTCGGGGGGAGAGACCCCATGGGCACATATCTGAAAGATCTCTAAAATACAGACAAGAGTTGATAAGGAACTAAATGCAATGTGGATGCAATCCAGGATACAGAACTGGAAAAGCCAATTAAATCCAGAGTAAGTCTGGAGTTTGGTTCTAATGTTAATTTCCTAGTTTTGCTAAATATACCATGGTTATGTAAGATGTTAAAATTAGGAGAAACTGGATAAATCGTATACCGGAACTTTCTGTACTATCTTTGCAATTTTTCTGTTCATCTAAAATTATTCCAAAGTAAAAATTCTATTTAAATAAAAAGATGATGAAGAGACAGCATTAGAGAGAGAATCCAACTGAAATTTTGGCTTTTAAAAATACATATCTTTATAGGAAAATTAAAATAAGGATAAACAGTAATAAATAAAATCGTCCGTAATCCCTTGACCCATATATAATCACCACCAACTTAGAGACTGTTTTTCTCTGCGGATAGGTAGATAGGAAGATAGGATTTTAGAAAATAAAGGTGAAGTCACATTATAATAGTGGTTCCTTATCTCCTTTCTTTTTTACTCTAATAATATTGTAATCAGCTTTCCATGCCAATAAAATATCCTTTCTAGTTGTTTGTTTCTTATCCCTTAAATTACTAACTGATCCCATACTCTTGGGCAATTATATCATTTTCACTTTATAAACAGTACTTCATTGTATTGGTTAAAACTAAGTGTTCTGTGCATGTCCACTGTTGTTTCCTTAGTCCTAAAAATGGAAGTGCTGAGTCAGAGGGCCTGTTCACATTAAGCCTTTATTGTCCACTGGCCTTTCTGAAAGACTGTCTCACCATACAGCCCGATAGCCACGTCTCTGAACCTCTCCCCAACTCAGAGTCACCATCTTCGGTATCTTTTTTTTAAAATTTTTTTTTTTAATTGACTTTTTTTCTTCTTTTTTTAGAGAGAGGAAGGTAGAAGGGGAGAATGAGAGAAAAACATCAGTTGGTTGCCTCCTGCACACACCCCAACCTGGGGATTGAACCCTGGGCATGTGCCCTGACTGGGAATCAAACCGGTGACCTTTCAGTGTACGGGACTACACTCACCCAACTGAGCCGCACTGACCAGGGCTCTTTTGTATCTTTTTTAACTGGACAGGCAAAATATAGGAGATATTTGTTGTAATTTTTATTTTTAAAATGACTAGAGAGGTTTCCATTTTCTATATATTTCCCACTTATATTCCTACTCTTATAAGTAGACTATTTGTACAATTTTCCATTAGCATGTTGTTTATTTTTTCATTGATTTATAGGAGCATTCTGTCTGCTAGTCTTCTTTCAGAGGCAGACCTAGTTGCCTAGGCCTTTCTTTAATTTATCTCATTTTTTCCACTGCAGATCCTAAATCTGACTCAGGCCTTGAAAGACAACAAGAGTCCCCTGCACCTGGTCCAGATGCCACCCGTGATTGTTGAGACGGCCCGTTCCCACCAGCGGTCTTCTAGCGAGTCCTATACACAGAGCTTTCAGAGTCGGAAGCCCTTCTTTTCGTGGTGGTAGCGCGAGAGGCAGAAAAGGGCGCATTGCCTGAGACTTGGGCTGGGAGGAAGCCTGGGGAGCGGGTTGCAGGAAAAGCCAGAGAAACCAACAGAGAGCAGTGCTCTTGAGAGCCCTCCCTCTCTGTTCACCAACCCCCTCAGGGCTTTCCTAAGCGCAGGGAGAAGCACAGAGGGACAGTGAGTGCTGGTGGGCTCTCCTGAGTGCTGAGGAAGGCTGCAGCTCCATGCAAGGAGTGCAGATGCCCGGGAAGGAGCATCTGCCTTCCAATATATCCTAAGGGCAGGCTGGGAAATTCCCTTTCCTCACTGACACCTTGCTCTGTTGCAATTCCTCATTATATTCTGCATCAGAAACAAACAAAACAAAAATTTAAATTATTAGCAAAACCCAGGCAGAATCCCAGATTCTTTCATATCAGAAACCTCGAATCCACACCTAGATTTGCATGGACCCAGACATTCAGGTGCCTCGAAGTTCCTCACTCCCATGGACCAAGGCAGCTGGATGACTTGTGGTGCTGGGGCACACAGAAGCCACACCTTTCCTTTGAGATTTTGCCAAGTCTTCTCCTCCTACCAGTGCAGTAGACTGACCAAAAGCCTCCAAATGCAATTTGTATGGTGGGGGTACTTTTGCTCTAGACTTCCTAGCAATTTGGTATATGACCCTATAGATCAGCTCTGCTCTCTGCCCTCCTAGGGACCCAACCTCTCTAATGCAAGCCTGCAGCTTGCCTGTCACTCAGGAAAAGGCAAGAGGGAGGATATGGACTCCCCAGCATGGACAACTGATTTATGTAGCCTGAGTGTATGCTGGGATCAATAAGGGGTCTATGGGCAAACTTACCCCAGCCTTGCTTCCTGAGTCCTTGGCCCTAGCACAGGTGATAAACTTTTCCAGTCCTCTAATTTGTTCCTGTTATTTTAAATGTTCCTTTTCTCAACTCTTTGACTTAGTTCAGTTTGGGTTCTGGAGTGGGTCTCAGCTCATAAGAGGACAGGATACTATGTCTTTGGCCGCCTTTTTATGCTACCACTGCTGCTTGGTGGAGGTAACAGGACTTGAATTCAGCCTCCTAATTGGTAGCTGCCCTTTGGTCCCTGACTTCTTGTTTCATGCCAGTTTTTCCATGGATTCTTAAGAAAGGTGGGGCCCAAAGGAGAGAGGCCTTCAAACTGTTCCCCAGTGCCTGTCCAGCTCAGTGCGCTTCCTGCTTCCATGTCTCTTTTCCCTCAGCTATCCCCTTGCCAGGTGTCCAAGCCCATTCTACACCAAAGCAAAGAATGGCCTCATGAGAGAGTAAAGAGGGTGCCATCTGTGGCTCAGGAGCAGCCCTATGCTACTGGACACCACGTTTCTGGAACCCTGCGATTGGTCAATCAGCCTTGGAAAAAAAACTATCTTGAAGGTTTGATAAACAACCAAAGAAAGGGAGCGAGGACTATGGCTTGTGCCCTCTGTTTGCCCAGCTCCCGCAATCCAGGAGGCAGAGTAGAGATGTACAGCCCTCTTGTCAGCTGGGCCAGGCTGCCCTTCCATTCCAGCCCCCAGGAGCCAGCTTATCTTGGGCTTCCATCCAGCTAAGGGGGAGAGCCTCTGGGAGCTGGATGTGCATGCCCTGAGGATGAAGGCACAGCTCCCCTGCTGGCCCCAGCCCTGACAATCCCAGTCAGCCAACCTGGAGACACTAGCCTTGGGGACCATGTTTGCAAGAATGTCTGCCCTCAGACCACAGGAGCAGCAGGGCTCCCAGAGGCTGGAAGGGGACCCAGGTGGTTTAGCTCTGCATATAGACATCTTTATACAAACATGTGGTAAAGCTCTCCACCTGGTCATCAAGAGAGCCTGAGGAGTCTAAAGAGGAACCTTATTGCTCCCTCAACCAAGCAGATCTGCACATAGCCCTCATCCAGACCAGCTCTGTGAGAAGGAAACTGGGCCAATGTAAGAGGGGGCTGGTCCCAGTCCTGGCAAGTGAAAAGAGTGGGAGGGGCATCCCTTTCTGGCCTGTCTCTGTTCTCTTTGAAGCCTGTACTCAGGTTGCCTTGAATGTGGACTTTGGGAGAACCAGGGGCCCAGAGTGCCAGGGCAGGCTTCTGGGTGGCACTCATGGAATGGCCCAGCCCTCTGCCAGCCATAGGCCCTGTTCCCTAGTGTCAGGGAGTAGAGGCTGGGCTGTGAGAGTCCTGCTGCCTCTTATTGTACTTCTAATGCACTGTAGAAATTGTATGTAATATATTTAAATCAATGCAAATGTATGAATAACAAGTCCAGTTCTGACCTTTGTTGTTTAGTGTTTTTTGCTGGAAGGAAGACAAGGTAGAATGTAATTTTAAGGACAGAGAACCCTGCGTTTCCATGAGTTGCTAAGACATGGCTCCTGAGTCAATTTTCCTCTCTTAGGGGAAATCCAGATCCTCATTTCCAAAGTCTTAGTGCTCTGAAAACCAAACATTTTCTCATAACTCTGTTTGACACCAAAACTGACCTGAACCTACATTGAACCTGTTTGTAACTGTCATGTAGCCCTTAGTGTGAATATTTGTTGCAGAAATATTAATGTTTTGTTATGAGATGTTCCCCTACTAGGGATTATACAATATTTGCATTGGCTACTTCTGAAAAGCTGAAAAAATTCTGAATTCCAAAATCATCTAGCCCCAAGGGTTTGGAATAAGGAATATGGACCTTCTCTTCTTGGCCACGAGGGGGCAGTCCTGCTCTGCGTGTGCTTGGAGCACTTTGAACCCTGGCTCCTTTAAAGTGATGGATAATCAGGCAGATAGGATGGGTGGGAGGGGAGTTGAATGCGAATGATCACATGGTATACTTCTTTTGAGGCTGACCTCAAGGGTTTTCAGGCTATGGGAACCTGGGATAATGCAGGAGGCTCAAGAATGATTGGTTCAGCTGTTGACCCACCTCAGGATGGCTGGCCCATGGGGGTGAAGAAGCCAGCTTAGGAGCTGGCACCCATTGCTGTGACTACAGGCTCATGGCCCACTCTGCAGAGCTGGCCAGGGCCAAGAACCCTCTCCTCTCCTGTGGTTTAGGACTGCCTGCAGAGATGCTTCCATCTCCCCATCTGACAGCCTCTGGAAGAGGAGGCTTCTGCACAGGGGCTTACAGGATGGCAGTGAGGCCAGTCCTATTTCTTCCTGGGAACTCACAGCCATCCTGCAATGAGCCCAACCCCTCACCCCCAGCTCCAGAGTATCCATTTGGGGATCCTCCCCTTCTGTGACAGACTCACACAGTTCTTGATGCAAATGTGTTTATTTTGCCATTTAAACCACAGTTCCCTTGTGTGGCCTGACGGGCAGGGGTGTAGGACAGGCTGCTGGACTGTGGGTCATGATAGCAGGAGGGTTAGTAGCAGGAGTGGTGAGATGCTTAGTCTGAGTGCCCATCACTTGACTCCCAGGGGAATGTCATGCAGCCCAAGTATAGTGTTAGATGGGGGAAGGGCCAAGGCAAGAATGGTCGCTGTTTCTCCTGGTGAGGGATGGATCCCACACAATGCAGAGCTCAGTGGACACCTCCAGTCCTGTTCTGAATTGAGCAGGCCAACAGCAGCGTATGGGGCTGTCTGCCTCAAGTCTCTCTTCCTCCTTCATTTTCCTGGGCCCTTTGGCAAAAGTTCCTATGATTCCTGGGGAAGATACTGCCATTCCCAGCCCCTTTCCTGGATCAGTGTCTGATCTGATGGAGGTAGCTTGTGGGGCCTGACTTCCTCCAGTTCCGGCGGATCCTGGCACTTGTCCTCCTAGTGTTCAGATACTGATCGCTGGAAGCCATCTCTGTGGCACTGCTCTGTGGGTCGGCCAGTGGATCGCGGGGCTCTGGGATTCTGCAGGGAACAAGTGTGGGATAGGCCAACATCAATAGGAAGGACAGAATGGAGACTAAAGAGATTTTGGTCATGCGGATTATTAAAACACTGGGGCAAAATGGTCTCGTCTGAGACCAATGGTCCTAGTCTCGTCTCTGCCCCCTGAGAGGTACAAGATGAGGCAAAGCTTTCAGATTTCTATAAAGGGAGTTGGACTAGATCAGGGTGTGTAACACTCAATATTTCTCCAACTTCCTCATCCTGTACTCATGGCAGACAGCATTAATCAGTCACATGAGACTGGAGGAACCAAGTATCCTTACTAAGGTGTGTTAAGTAGGGATTACTAATCAATTGGAGTTGAAATGGACCTAATGTTCTAATTTCTGATTGTGGGCCCTAGAGAAGGCAATGGAGGAATCGAGCCCAGAGTGTGCCTGAAGCGGTTGGTTTAGGCCATGTGGTTCAGCGTGATCTTAGGGGGAGAAAGGGGGTGGTAAGACTGGCAGCTCCCCATTCCTGGGCTGGCAGTGACCTGAGCAAAGAGGTGCATGACCAGGGAAAGTTAGGGTAAAGTTTCTCAACAATTGTTAAACTTTGATGCCTCTACATACCGTACTTTCCTATGCTATATTCTCTAATTCCACAGCCAAGATTTTCATCAGGCTGACTTTTGAATGTTACCTGTTCTATAATAGGTAAATAGGATTTTTTTCCCCCCCAAACACTAGTCCCTCCTAGCTGGTTAAGAATCACTGTGAAATGAGTTGGCATTGATAGGACTCTGGTACCCCTTCCCATAGGAGTTCACAGGGCCCATATAGGACTCCAATAGAAACAGCAACCTTTAGGTGTCAGCCATGTGGTAGGCACTTTACAGTGAGGCCAGATCAGTAGCTACAGGTCCCACAGCCATGAAATGGTGGACTGGGCATCATTAGTGCTCTCTCTCCCTCAGCCCTCCAGTCCCAGGAACCTACCTGAGCCGGCTACAGTGGTGTAGCGAGTGACCCAAGGCTTTCTGCCTTGGGGGCCTCTTTCTGCGCAGCCTCCTCAAGGCCTCCGCCACACGGTGGTCCCCTGCACACTCCCAGATGATCTGTGCCCGTTCCTCGGCCAGCTGGTCCCCGCTGCGCTGAAACAGACTCTGGATCTGCAGCAGCTCGGCATCCTGGAAGATGTTGGCCGAGGCCTGTTTGCGGCCCCGGGTCTCAGTTGGGGCCTGCCAAGGGAGCGGCTCGCTCACCACAGAGGCCGGGGTGCCCATCCTGGGTGTTCTGAGGAAAGAAAGCGTGGAGGGACATCAGCTCAGCAGGCCCTTCCCAAACATGGGGTTCCTGACTAACACAAGGACTCTGTTTTTTTGTTCTTCAGGAGCCAAGGTGAAGTAAGTCTTGACTTAAAACCACTCTGATTTCCCAGGGCACCTTGGGCAAATAATGTTAATAATGACAACCAAGCTTTACTATAGAGCGCTTATGTGTCTGACACATGTTAAGAGTACAGAAACCTGTGAGGTAAGAATTGTTTATCCCCATTTTACAGATAAAGGAGTGAGACTCAGAGGTCACATGACGTTCCCACAGTCACAAAGCTCTGTGCAAGTGCAGAGCCAGGAGAACCAGGTCTGTATGGCTCTAAAGTCTGGGCAGACCCCAGGATACCCATGTCCTAATAGTAGCAGCAGCAGCTGAAATGTGGTGAGCACTTAACATGTGTCAGACACTACCCCCTGTAAGAGCCACATTCACCTGACACCATGGAAATTGTGAGCACAGCAGCCCTATGAGGCAGGTACTTTCACCCTCCTCACTTCACTGATGAGGAAACAGAATCCAGATTTCTGATGCTGAGATCCAGGCTCTACAGCACAGAAGTAAGAGGGGTTGTGGAGCTGGGCTGCCTGGGTTGGAATCCTACTTCTGGCTGCCTCCACCACTTACTGGCTGGTGATCTCCATGCTCAGCTGTACTAACTAGTACCTACTTCTCAGGGTTGCTGTGAGGACTGAGTGAAGACCCAAAGCATTAAGAACAGTGCTCAATGTTCTACTATTCTGCTTTTCCATCCATAAAATTGACAAGAGTCATCCCACCTCCTGTCCTCAAGACCCTGGGGATGATCCAAGTCCATACAGGTGAGGCAAAGGTAGGTTTACAGTTGTTTGTATGGAAGATAGTACAATAATTAAGAAATAACAATACAAGAATAAACTTTCTCATACTCACAACTGTAAACCTACTTTGCTCTACCCTGTATAATTTAGCAAATAGTATGAAATAGACCAATCAGATCTAATTAGTCCAAATGACCCCTGAGAGAAAGGGGCAGGAGAAGAGGCTACAGGGACAGAGAACTCTACTGGCAGAGGCTGAAATTTATAAGCCAATTCAATAAAAGTTAGGCTCTTGTCCATGTCCCCCCCACCATATCTAGGAAATGAAAATTAAATCATCTCTCTCAGTTCTAGATGGTTCATGTTGAATAATAAAGGCACAAGAGGCTCACCCACCTTATCCTTGTCTGTGGTACAGCTTGAAAAAGCCACGGGATTGGAAAACAAGGAGACAAGGAAGACCAAGGACTTTGGCATTATGCAGAACTGGGTTTGAATCCCAGCTGCCACTTGCCTAGCTGTGACCTTAGGCAAGTTAGTCGACCTCTCTGAGCCTGTTTGCTTAACTGTCAAATGAAGCCAAAGCCACTTCTCAGGATTGGTGTAAGGATTAAATGAGTCTAGTATGGTACCAGGTACCCAATAAGAGCTACATAAATGCGAATGCCCCTCTTTTTGGCTTCCTTGACTTTTGTACTTGGGTCAGAGGTATGATGTGGACCCTTCTTTCCTCCAAGCAGTCTAGCCGGAGCCAGCTGAGGGCCTGCCTTGCTCCCCCTGCCCAATGCAGCCCTGGGCCTAATGGGGAAGGCCTGGTTGCTAAGCCAGACCTTGTTTCACAGCTAGCTACAGAGATAGCTGTCAACCAGCAACCAGCTTCAAAAGGTGGTAGATAAAAGTTAAAATCTACATGCTCATTTAAAAAAAAAATCATAAAGCATTGCTAGTTTCCTATCCTCAGCCCACTTGCAAAAATAACCCTTATTCTCACCTGCCTTTTGTTCTCCAGAGTATTCGAACCATCTCTCCATCCCCTTCAGATTTCCCAGGTAACGGCTGTCCCTCCCTCACCCTGGCCTTACCTCCTCCTCACCTCAATAGCCATCCTCCTGATTCCAGTCATTTTTACACCCCACTGTCCCAGTTTCTAGGCCTTCTATCCTAAGAACCCACTGTCTTTTTTCAAAAGATGTAATAACTAAAATAAACCTGAAGACTTTCAGATAAATTCATAAAAATTGTACTTTTTATCTGGAAAATGGGAATTTTAAAATCTGCCTCTCCTTAGGCACTATTATGGAAATCCAGTTAAAACCTAACATGTGTGGTAAATAAACTCCCAGAGCTGGGTGATATAAATATACTGTGACCAGAAAACAACAGTCACCAAGTAACACTTTCAGGTTGATAAAGAAATCAGTCACCAAGTTAACACTTTGAGGCTGACAAAGAGAAATCAAAGCTAACTATGGAGAATTTATTCTGTATCAGGCAATATGCATAATATCATTTCATCCTTAAAACAATTCTAGGAACCAGGCACTGTTATCCTCACCCCAATTCCCAGAGGAGCAAAGGGAAGCTGAGACACAGATATAAAACAGGGACTCAGCCAAGGCCAGAACCTAGCCTGACTGCAGCCCAGGGTTTTAAACAACTGAGTTGTCTTCACAGCCATGCAGCTCAAAGCACATTTCTTCCCATCATTTCTGTGAGGAGTGCTAATTCACAAAGGGGAAACCCTACCAGTAGCAGGAAAGAACACTGAATATCCCACATTGGAGGCAGGGAGGGGTGAGGTGTGGAATTTATTTTAATCTTTCCACTAATGTCAGGGCTGTTCCCTGGGTGACAGGTTGCCCCAACTTTGAACTCATGGCACTCTAAGGAGGAAGATCTTCAGCTTCCACAAAAGAATCTGGAACTACAACCCAACCCAGGGCACAGAGCACTGTTTTATGAGTCAGAGAACTGGGTTTGAGCCCCAGTTCTATCACTCAGTGGCTGAGAGGCCTCAGAGATTCACATGCTTCTGTGGGCCTGTTTCCCTCCTACATCTGTGAGAAGAGCAGGTTGATGCTGATGGCATCTGAAGGCCTGTGCCAGTGTTGAGAGTCAACGATTCCATGATAAGTCTAGGTCTGAACGGAGAAGAGATGGTTTGCTTGCCTGCCAGGGCCTAGGAGCAACATGTGTGGACAGGTCTGGCTAATTAGGTGTCAGAAGACTCCCCAGCCAGTAGCTCCCCTTCTCAATCTTCCCTGGAGGCCAGACACTGTTTTGTGGCTGTGGGCTGTGGGGTTAGGGTCTGGTAGAAGACAGAGAACTCATTGCTCTAAAGCACTCTAATGAGCTAGGCTGGCTATGACCAAGCCTGGGGCATACTCCTACAGGGGCCTGGGGGTAGGAGAAGGGGTGATGTCCCCTTTCTCAAACTCAGGAAATCTCAGGGTCTCCTCCTTGAGAGAATGGGAACAGGATCAAATAGCAACAGCTGACTCAGGGAGGAAATGGCTTGGAGCTTGACTTCCCAGATAGTCCCAGCCGCCTCTGTCAGGGCTGCAAGGCCCTGCAAGGCCCTACCTCCAGCTGCCCAGTTACAGTGAGTTACAAATGCACCAATGAGAAACCATCTGGGAGAGTCTGAGCCTCCAGCCTCACCATACCCTGTGTTGAACCTCCAAGCAGGGAGTAGTACCTCCAGATTTGAGGACCCTCACTCTTGGCTCTGCCTCCCACCCTGAGATTCAGACAGCAGAGTGAGGATGAAAATAAAAATCGGTGGATATCAGGTAGGATTAGATTGTAAACTTGGGGAAAATAGAATCAAAACACTTTTGTTATCAGAAGAAATTTTTCCTGTCTCATTCAAAGTGTTCAATAGTTACTTCCCACCTCACTTCCTGGACAAGCCCTGAATCCAGGAAAGTCCACACATACTTGAACAATGGTACTTTTTAAGCTGGAAAATGAAACCACAAGGCTATTAAAAGATTACAAATGAATTTTTCATTTCAGAGCTACATAAAAAAGATAAGCATGGGTCTGTGAGCAAATGAGTAAAGACTAATTGCAAAATACTTCAATTTGACACACTCTAGGTTAAAAATGAACCCCCAAGTAAATACCAAATGTTGAAAGTGGCAAAGTTCAATTTGTTTTGAAACAGGCAATAAAGGAACTATAGAGCTCTAACAATGAAATATATTTAAAAAGTGACTCACCATGCAGTGATTTGCAATTTATAAATATGGTGCACAAGTGAGCATTCGTCATAATGTATGAAGCTCAGTTTAGACACCAATCTGTGCTCACCATGTCTCAGGGACATGTAAGTAATCATGAGAGGAAAAACACACGTGTGAACTAGGCAGCAGCTGGCTCCTCACTTGGCTCATCCCCTTCAGATAAATAACCCTGTTGGTGGTAATAATCTGTAATGGGAGGCCAAGGGTCTCTTAGAAAAAGAACTGGAGGCTCTGGCCCAAGGCCCAAATCAACACTTGTGGCCCTGGCCTGCTTCCCTGGACAGACATGACACTGGACAGCAGCCAAAATCTGTGGCTCCTCAAGTGGGAGGCCCAGTCCAAATGGCTGTGTGGGCTCCCCACCCCGAAGGGCCTAGCCTCAGCCAGGCATGCCTGAGAGAACTGGACATATTTTGTCCTCCAAATCTGTGTCCCAGAAGGTGGAGAAAGGAACTGTGCCCTTCCCCCAGACCAATTCTCAGATATGACCTGGAAAAAACTCCTACTAGATCTAGGAATAACTCATTTCAAGAGTTCAAGAACCCTGAATTCTGTCTGTGCCACTGATAACTGGATGACCTTGGCATGCCTCAGTTTTCCCCTGCCTCACTTTGCTCACTGTCAAAATGGTGAGAATAAATAACCCTTAAGGGGATAAGGGAGGTAAAGTATGCTAAAAGTATCCATCCCAGCACCTTACTTTATGAATGAATTGGTATAAAGGAAAGGGCTTTTTAACCACCCATTTTCCTCATCACCATTATCACAAAACTCCCTCAAAGGGGGCCTTCGCTGTTGGGAGAAGAGGGTAAAGGAAGATGGAGCCATCTTCGGACTTTTAAATCATCGCTGCCATTGAGGCACCTTGCTCCAAGTCAAGTGCAAAATAGCACTTTCAGAAGGATAATCTCTCTAATCCTCACGACACCTCTATGAGGAGGTACTATCGCTACACCCATTTTACAGATGATAAAGCTAAGCTCAGGAAGGTTAAGTAACTTGCCCAAAGTCACACAGGCAGTAGGTGATAAGGTAGGATATGAACCCAAGTCTGACCCCAGCGCCCACGCTCTCAACCAATTATTTTCGTTCCCGCCAGATGGGTGCTGAGGTCTCAGAGGAAGGACCCAGGAGACTCTGAAACCTCTCGGAGCCTGCTATCTGCTTCTGCAGGTTTTGGAAGGCGCAGGGATCGAAAGTCAGGTCTCCCCAGCCAACCTCCGTGGCACCCGCACGCCATGGCCCCGCGAGGAATTACAGCGATTACTTACCGAGCTGAAGGGCAGCGCCGACAGACCTCAGAGGGGGACGGGGCGAGCTAAGGTACGCCCACCCCTACCCCTGCCCGGCCTTTCGAAAGGGCGGGCGCAGCTCTGGGCTTGTGCCCCGGAGGTGCTCGCGAGGACCACGCGGCGTTCACCGACAGGACCAGAGCTTGGGAGGGGGTATCCTGGCCGAGATCCCACGGCGACAACCCCAGCGCAGGTCGGTCTCTGGGGCTCAGACGTGGCGCTTCACACAGCAACGGGCCTTAGGTGGGTCTGGGGGTTCGGGTCCCGGCGGCACCCCGGCTCTGACGGCTCGCACCCCGCCCGCTCGCCGCGCAGCACGAGCCGGCTGCAGACCTACGTACCTGACTGCCCGAGGCCGGCCGCCGCGGTCACGACCGCAGATCCCGGGAGAAAGCGCTCCCGGCTCCGCAGCAGCCAATCCTCGGCCGCGCCTCGGGGTGAGCTCCGCAGCGAGCCTTCCAAAATCGAACGCGGAGACTCGGGGGGCCAATCAGCGCCACAGAGAGGCGAGGGGCGTGGTCTGGCCCCTCCCCCTTCCCTCCGCCGGCCTCGAAACCCAAGTGCGAAGATCCCCGGGTCCAATCAGCGGCGCCGCAGCGGCGAGGGGCGTGTCCGCCCGCGTCCCTTCCCTTGGCCCCGCGCCTTCCTCGGGTCTCGCGGGGCGGCGCCCGGCCCTCATTGACGTCAGTCCCCAGGAGAACGCGGTCTTGCTGCCGCGGGACCCAGGCGGGGCCGCATTCCTGCCCCGGGGTGCGGCAGTGAGTCGTCCCGCTGCGGACACGTGACGGTTGCCCCCTCCCCAGGGCCCGCGGCCTGTGCGCCTGGCGCGGGTTCCTGGCTGCGTGCGGCCAGCAGCAAATAGACCTGCAGCTCCCAGACCTGTCCTCACTTCCCAGAGCACTTATGTTCTGGCTTCAGCTTCGAGGGACAGGAAGGGACAGTCAGTGCGGTGGTCAGACCGTGGCCTTCAAAGCCTTGTTACTTCCTTGGATCAGGGTGCAAAGTTGGGCCAGTTACCTAAATGAGGCAGCATTAAAAAGGGTTTATTCATTGGACCACGGTCCACCAGGGATCCACCCTGTCCGTGTTTCCTGACAGGCAGTGAACTGGAGACATCTATAAGCCCTTCTGGGGGAATTTACAGCCTAATAAGGGAGGCAGATATTAAAAAGCCTAAAACATTTCATTGTGATTACAATTGTGATAAACATTATGGCTGTAAGATGGTAAAAGGGAGGAACCTAAGCTCTCTGGGAGGTGCTGCAAGGCAGAGGTAACATTTAAGCGGAGGTATGAAGTTGGTCCCATGAAGAGCGGGACTGGGAAGAGTGTTTAAGGAAGAGAGAATTGCATGTGCTAAGGCCAGCAGGTAGCTTGACTAAGGAAGACTTGCAGTGAGGCCTGGAGCAGGGCTAGCAAGGGAGAGAGGTGAGGAAGCAGAGGCAGGCTGTGAAGAAGTTTCCATTTCTTCTTCTGAAGATCCTCTGAGGGGAACAGCATTGTATGTATTTATTTCATAGACATTCAATGGCAGTTAGCATGTGTAGGGAATGCCAGTCAGCACTTTACAAATATTAGCTCGTTTCATCCTCGTGACAAATTTGTGTTTTTAGAAGTCGCTTTGGTTAGAGCTCGGAACTTGGACTGGAGGAGGCAGGAGAGGCTGCGAGGTATCCATCAGGAGGGCTCTTGATAAACGCTTGTTTACTTCCTGGGAAGCTGAGGGGTTGTTTGTGCACCGGCTCAGAAGCGGTCAGGAAGGCTGCCTGGGAATAGGCACCTAGGTCTTCCCGACTTCTTTTTCACGGCAGAGCTGACCTTTGTAGTCGTTTGATTTCTCTTCTGTAAAAGTTCCACAGGGGGAAGAGTAAGAGCCAGCACACCAGGATTCATGGATCGCTTTTTGCAAGGTGGAAGGGATGTTTGGGAGCTTTTCTCCCTCAGTCCTCACTTCCTCTTTCTGTCCTTTACAAAAACATCAGCAAATCTTTCCTGTAGTTAAAAAAGGTTTGAACTGTGGTTTTTCTTTGCTTTTCCTGAAGCCCTGGGGAAATACTGAAAGGAAAAAAACACAAAAACACAAAGAAATCAGCAATGTTATTCTCCATTAGAAAGTAGTGCTGTAAAGCCTACCAGCCAACTGCTTGGCTAAGGAGGGGACTGCAGACTCGTAAACTGGGAGGCTGGGCTTCTGAACCAAGGACTCCTTTTACCCCCACTCTAAGCAACAGGAAGGCCAAACTCTTGGCATATCAGTGCTTGAAAAGCCTAGGAATTCTGACACCATGAGCTCAGGTGAGCCTACCAACGTAGGAACTGGGACCTTGTCGCTTCTGGGTCAGATGTGACTAAGGCTGGGAGAAGAATATCTGGTGTCTCCAAACATTTTTACAGGCATGTGACCATGTACTTACCACACAATGGAACCATTTCTATTGTTGCAGCTTTATGATTCAATATTTCTGAAGAGAAGATGGGGGCACTTCCACAGGTGTATGGGCCATGCAAGGAGGGGGGGATCTGGGACTCACCCCCTAATAGGGCCCTGTTTAGAGAAGGTCAGCTATGGGGATAGAGCCCTATAGTAATTCAAGCCAAGACTTGGCTTTATCAGGAAACAAGTAAAGGTGAGGTGAATGAGAAACACTCCTTGGGCACAATATTTAAAGAGGCACCAAAAAACTCAATAATCAAGATCAATATTTTAATGTAATATTTTTAAAAATCAAAATTAATGCAAAGCATCCATGGTGAACAAAATATCAACATTTAAAATAAAGACAGGCTGTTGTTTGTTTAATGACCCTGCATCATTTTGCAATGGGAACAGTCATTTCTAATCAGCCCACAGTTCCCAGGTGGGTCACCATTGAGTCCCTCGCCAATTTGCTTTATGAGGGTTGACAATACTGTGGGAACATATGGGGCAACACAACGCTTTATATGTATGTGGTCATGCCTTTTATTTTAGAGCTTTTATGCTCTTTTTCTCTTTGGTTCAAAATATGAAAGATGTTTCAGTAAGTACATATAGTGGCTCACATTTTTCCTTTTGCCCCAAGCTCCAATATAGCTAAGCAAGGTGCTGGTTTTTAAGAGAGTAAAGTCTAGGGAAGGGGTCTAGCTGTTCACCCTTAAGCAAATGACTTAAACTCTCTGCCTCTCTATTTTCTCTTCTATAGTACCCTTAGTGTTGCTGTGAGGATGAAGTGAGATGCTAGAGGCATAACACTTAATATACACCTTGCTAAAGACACTAAGTCAGCTTTCCACTCATTCCTCTATCCTGCAGGAGTTGTTCAAGTAGCTGGAGAGTTACAGATGGTCCCCCATCGGGGCTGAGACTTGCTCCCTTGGGTTTGTTGTTGCTATCTGTCCTTTTCTGGGGAGAGCAGAGGAAATTCAGCTGAAAAGCAACAGTGTGACTTTTGTGTCAGTTCTTTTTTCTTGATAAATGATCCTGGTCATTCTAAACTTTTTTTTTTTCAAGCGCCCTTCTGCTTAGGACATTACACACAGCAACTTACTACAACCCTCTTCTCTGAACTTACAACCCAAACAGGCCAAAAATAGCAAAGTTCTGCAGGCAAAGGGTATGTTATTGAAACACTAAAAACAAACAAAACTAACAAGCAAACAAACAAAATACCATTCATGTACATTAGAATTAAAGGTCAGGATTGCATTAGTCAGTCTGAACTGCCATAACAAAATACCACAGACCAGGTAGCTTAGCAACAGAAACTTATCTTCTCATAGTTCTGGAGGCTGGGAACCCAAGATCAAGGTGCCAACCCACTTGGTTTCTGGTGAGAGTTCTCTTCCAGGCTTGCAGATGGCCACATGCTCACTGTGTCCTCACATGGTGGAGAGAGAGAGAGCTCTCTGGTGCTTCTTATAAGGACCTGAATCCTGTCAGATCAGGGTTCCATTCTATGGACACTCTCATTTAACCTTCCTTACTTTCTTAGCCCAAATACAGTGACATTGGAACTCAGAGCTTCAACATACAAACTTTGGAGGAACACAATTCAATTTGTAGCAAGTATAAACTTGTGTTTTTTAATATATAGATAAGTAGATATAGAAATAAATCTAGCTATAAATGTATGTATATTTGTATGTGTAAATGTATACAAGAACACACAAACACGCACATTCCCCAGCTCTGTCTGCTGAGAGGGCCTAGAAGCAGTGATACTCCAAAAAGAATAAGCACATTTAGCACCCAGATATTGATTTCTCAGTGCCATCCTCCACAAAAGGAACCATGGCTCCTTGGAGAAATAATTGACTCTACCACTGGGGTTGAGGAAGTTCAAGATGGCCCCAGAACATCTCGTGCTGGAACGTAGGGAAGTACTTAAAGAATGATGGAGACAAGTCAAAAAGACTAGGAGTCAGTTTACAAGGACTCCCATTAGTCATTTGCAGAGCATCAAAATAAAATATGATAGTAGCATGTTATAGCCCAGTGAGTAAAATCAGTATACCTAAGTCCATAGTAATATAAATACATGAATAAATAAGTAAACAGAGGAGACAAGAAAGGCCTTCCTTGTAGTAGACTGCCAACTAATAAATGTAGAAGAAATGAAGCAGTTAGGAAACCATTAGTGGCTACTAAAACAGCTTTGTGGCCATTATAAAAACAGGAACTGTGGTAGTTTTGCATATTTTTTTCTCTGTTTGTTATGTATACATGGCAATGTTGTACATATTAAACTTTTTTCTTTTTCTCTCTTTCCCCATTTTGGTTTTATATGTAAGTCGTTGGAAGCTAATGTTATAATTTAGTCTGTAGGTAACAGTGCAGTCCATGGGACTATGACAATCTGAGGAGCATTTAATATAGAGTGTTGGAACCGTGGATCTCCTCATTTTGGAGAGAGGGTGAGAACTCCTTCACTGGTAAGAAAGATAGCTGTATCTCATTAGGTGGAAATATGGAGTTGTTTCATTGTTGTATGGAAATTTAAAAGTATACAGAAGGTTGCATATGGAAGTTGAGTCTCCAAAGGGATGGACGTGCCATTATCTGATCCTGGAGCAGCCCTATAAATATTTTTTCTAGCTGGCGCAATGCTCAGATTTGCCAGTAGAGGGAGCTAGTGAGACACTAGAGGAGGAAAGAGTTTCTCCCTTGGGTGCTGCTCTGCGCCTCTCACCAGGCTCCTTCTGCCTGCTTTTCCAGTGCCCACTCCTGAAGCACATTTGGCTTCCCATGTGCCAGGCTCCTGCAGTGTGGGCAGCTTCTTCAGCACCTGGGTCCTATAGCACATGGCAGCCAGCAACACACAGTGGCTAGCAGCTTCCCTTGGCACCCCCTTGGGTGGCCTTGCGCTAACTTTTGAGGCGCATGCAATAGCATCTTGGGCATGATTTCCCCCAGCACCCCAGATGTCTGATTTCCAGCAAGTGCTACCA